TGTTGTAAGCTTATGTAGGCGAGTTTACATATTTACGAATAAATATATAACTAATGAGGGTATATACATACATACAAAGATATTTCAGTTCTTGGAATTTAGTTGAGAAACAAATATTTATTAAATATGTATTTTAAACAAACGTACTATAAAGGATGATCCAAATATGACAACATACACAAATCTTTTAAAAACTGCTCCGGCTAGGAGTATAGAAATCAAGCCATCATTTTTTTTTGTGGCATTATTTAATTAATATTTATTTGGTTATGTAAAATTTACGGTGACAAGTCCTTGAAAATGGAAAAAAATATGGATAATAAAAAGTAGACAATCACTCGACTGAATGGTTGAACCATTTCATATGTCCACTTTTTCAAATTAAAATGTCGTTGAATACTTTATACCGTCCCTTGTTCCAAAGACAGCATTGTATCTATATTTTCAGTGCCAACCTTATTCTAAATGAGCAGCACTTTACGTCCAATTTTTTTCAAAAAATTTAAATGCAGTTTTTAAAGGAAGTAAAAGCTGTACCCAGTTTTTAGAAGACTAAATATTTGCTTCAAACCGAAATTTTGACACAAGTATATGAGGAGTTCTTTCACGCAAACGTACAGGTCAACTTGAAAAATTATTTATATATACATATATGCACATTAGGGTGATCCTTAAATGTAGGAAGCAAATTTTAATATCAGATTTCCTAAGCCGCAACCCCTACGTCGATGCTACTATAGTCGAAGATATCACATATAACAGGGGGCAAAGTTCAGATTCCTCTATGGAAACTCAAAAATTTAAAATAATTATTTTTTTTCATCTTCTACCCAAAATAGATACTGCTATAGTCGAAGATATCACATATAAATTTCGGGCCCGATTGGAGTCGATTAAGACGTGGCACACAGGGTCCAACTTTAGATTACCCTATGAAGACGTCTTAACCGACTCCAATCAGGACCAAAACTGTTATGTGATATCTTCGACTTTATTAGTATCGATTTTGGGTATTAAATGAAAAAAATATTTTTAATTTTTTGAGTCTCCATAGAGGATTCAGAAATTTGGCCCCTGTGCGACACACCTTAACCGTCTCCAATCGGGACCAAAATTTGTATGTGATATCTGTGACCGTGCTATTACTGATTGAAGGGGTGAGACTGAAATAAATCGCTCTTTTGATTTTTTAAGGACCACCCTAATGTAAATATGGACAATTATCTCTATGTATGTATGTAAAAATGTAAAGTCGGAATTTTAATGCTCTCACCCCCTAGGATTGTTCTATACCGAAAAATATACTCCGACTTGACTTTTTCACACGAAGTTTTGGACCACCCTAATATATATATTCATTCACCATCTACGAACGTCCTTGGCCGAAGTGTTGTAATGATACATTTTTTGACGCTTCAATGGAACACGTGTCAGTCAATGATAGATGATGTTGGTGGGCATCGTCACTTAAAGCCCGATTAAAATCGTTAAAATTTAGTTAGCGGTGCTTTGATGCGTACATACATATGTACATATCTACATTAGCATATACAGAATTCTTGTAGTATGCATAACGGACGCTGCCATGTAAGGTATCCATGAATATATGTATGTATTTACAACAACTTGTTGCCATATTCCATTAAGAAAATGAATTATTTGTTTATAACAATGTGACTGAAAAAGTAAGTTTACGATAATGAATTCAAATTTGTTTGGCTTTATTCGAGCGTTTGATAGACCATAAAAGTGTTGCCTTTTGTTGTGATTGCAAACTACATCATTAAATGTAAAACTTTACTGCTAAGCTCTATGGCTTTTTACAGTAGTTATTTTGAAGATTTACGATTCGCGCTGTGACGCATTAGCCACGTTTTTCGGAAAGTTTAAACAAAATGTGCTGTTAATTCAAGCACGTGTACCCTCCGAATTTTTTTTTTTTCAAAAATATTATTTGACGTATCTAATATTGAAAAGAATTTCCTTTAAAGACAATGGCGCATGAAATCAATATTCTTACCTAGTAGACAATACTACAAAATATGGAGGCCTCTTAGGAGCTCTTATTTTTAAACGTTTTGCATAGAATAGCTAGAGATTCAACAAGGCCTCCTGAACCTGCTTGTCTTACGAGGGAAACATTTAAACGAAATAATAATGACGCAGTTCTAATTTACACCTGTACAAAAAACATAGCAACACATTTGCTGCAGTTTTTTTTTATTTTTTATTTGACTTCCGTTACCTTGGAAGCAAATGTTTTCACCTTCCTTCGAATCAGTGATGGAAAAGTATGCACAATAGTGCCATTTTTGGCACTTTCAATTCTCAGAGGCACTTTTGGCACAATTCATCCTGTTTTGGCACAATCATAAAATATAGAAATTTAGCATAGAATGCCAATATACAACAAAAAATCACATACCACATTATAGATTAGAAAATTACAACAAATGGAAATTACAAGCACTGAGAAATATTTATAAACCGCTGAGTTCTATTGTAAATATGCAGTACGAAAAGTAAGTTTTCGCAACAACCAGCTTTTTATTCGGAATTTTTAGAAAGATTTTAAGTTTGAAGTTTTATAGTCCATTAAATAAAACTGCAAGTTTCTGCAATATCCCGATGATTTTTAATCTTTTTTTTTGCTGCCGGTGTCATACATTTTCATCCATTTAAAAAATTTTCGAACACATTTTACATCGAAAAAATTTGTAAAATCGTAAACTTGGAATCTCTCTAAAAATTCTGAATTCAAAGCTTTTTGTTGCGAAAACCTGCTGAAATGCCGATTTGTGTACATATATTGTGAGTTACTCTTTTATATAAAATCAAACAAAAATTAATCAATGAAAAGAATAGGCCAAACTGGTGAAAATGTCTCACTGCCATTATTTCGCATATAGGTACATACATATGTGTGTAGGTCCCTCCGCTTTATGTAACAATATCAAGGCGCACGCCACAATTCGGAGGAGAAGCTCGGCCAAACACTAACATATGTGCAAGCACCAATCTATTATTATTATTATACAGACTTACGTACGAGGATGATCACTAATGCACGGTATGTACTGAACAGGTAATCGATAACGGTGGTTCCACAGTAGGAGGGAAACGGAGCAGGGGTGGGTTTTTAGTGCGGTGAGCCGAAAAGCAAGTCCCGAAGCCGAAATGCTTTCAATGCTTTGTGCCACCTCTACATAAACAATTTTAAATGAGGAGTTGCTTAGAAATGCCAATATGGAGCCCCTTTAACATCTGGATTCGAAGACTGAAATGGTTAGCCCGCACTGGGCGCAAATACGGCAGTACTGCAATGAAGGCCTTGGAATGGAATTCCCTAGTCGATAGAAGCATGTCTCCCGGCAAACCGCGCAAAACCTGGAGAAGGACAGAAGGAATTGATCTGCTTGTTATCATCTCACTGTAGTAGTAAAAACGTAAAGAGCAAAAGATTTGGTTCTAAAACTTGAAGATAGCGGAAACCATTGTGCAGTAAAAAATACATCCTTAGGAGAAGGAGAAATCTACGCAGTCCAAACTCACTTCCAGTTTAAAAGACCAAGAAATTCTATGTGGATAGCTACCTTTCGAGGTGCAAGTGTGCACATAACATTAAAGTATTCTGCTCAGTGATATAAAAGCTGTGGCGTTGGACCAGGTTTCTAGGGTTTATAGCTCGTAGAGGTTCGTAATCACCGGTTTTATTATATTTTTTACAATCAGGCAGCAAGTTCACAGTCCTCGACTTTAAAGCAAACAAAAATAGCTCCAAGTGGTAGGCAATTTTGGCCAGACAAAGGGTAAGCTCAGGTATTTCTAAGCACAAGACCTTTTATGGCACTGCCAAATAGTTCTGTAAAGCGAACCTAGTACTTCTGGAAGGCAAATTTGGGTAAACATTATTGGATGAAAGCCAGAAGATAACAGACAGGCGAAAACCGTCGTTTCAGAAATAGCAGCTCCAAAACCTCTTTATGTGATTAGAATAGCCACAAAGTTATTGCAACGTGTTAAAGCAATTATCAACCAAGGAGTGTCTAATCAAATGCTGATATTTCTACTTTCGGTTTGATATAATCTTCAATATGAGGAACATCTTGACGCATCGCGACGTTTCAAACGAATAAATAGCGATGTTCTCCATGTACATATCTTCGGCTTGAGCAGTCTTGTTGGTCACATTTCCTGTAAAGTAATGTATTGTAGAAATATTATCTATTGATTAGACGCTCTCTACTTTTAGTAGAGCAGTTTTTGATCTATACAAGATATGTGACGAAGAACATGAAACAACAAAGACACTGTAGGACTCACGTTAGCCTCAGACTTTATATTTTAGGCTCACCGTATATTCACTCTTGCCCGCCTGAACATGATTTTTTAAATATTTTTTTTTTTTTTTTTTAAATAATTACGGTTACCGATAGCTCTCAACGAATTTCTCCATAAGGAAGTACATACATAGTGAAAATGCAATCGAAAATTGCTTGCAGCATTAAACTGCATTTGCTATGCGTAAATTTTCAAATTCCCATAACTTTTGATTAGAAAATGGTAAAAAAGTCACGAAATCGCAAACAAATCGCATTGAACCAACACAAATATTTTCACATACAGTAACAACAACAAATCAACCTTTCACACAAACATACAAACTCTACTTTTGTGCGAACAAAAAAATTATATATGTACGTGCGAATATCGGCGACTTAATCAACATGTTTGCTGTGTTCGGTTTGTCAGCAACAACAATAAAAACATCGGCAAGCGAATAACAGCCAACATTCAGCTGTGTGTTAACATATCGCTACAGCCTCTCGTAAATCAATGCGCATGCGCTTGTCGACGTTGTTGTGATTTTACGCGCACTACACTAGTTTGTTTTAATTTTTTTTTTTTTTTGGTGTAAAAGGAACAAAAATCTTGAGAAATCTTGGAAATGGAATTTCAATCCTACGAATGCAAGTGAAACAGCCAAAACAACAACTTACCAAACAAACTGTTCGTCTGCGCACTCTGCACCAGGCAAATGGCAACGATGAACACAGTTGTCAGCAGCCAGGAGCTGAACTTTGACCGCTGTCCTGGCCATGGCCGTAAATGCAGCCGCCGTTGCATAAGTGGCTCACCACCTTGTTGTTGCTTATGCTGTTGTTGTTGTTGCCGATGCTGCAGCAGCTGCGCTTGTGGGGGGCATATTCGTTGTTGTTGCTGTTGCCGTTGGCTGGAGTCACTTGGCTCGCTTGCGCAACAACAGCCAACCTCCTGCTTGCCATCGCCAACAACAACAGCGCCAATGTTGCCTGCAACAACTGTCATTGTGCGCACGATTTTGTTGTACACTGTCAGCAGTGTTGGCTTTGTTGCTGTTGTTATCGTTGTTCTAGTTGGTATGGCTGTGGCGGCTGCTATTTTCGTTGTTGTTGCTGTTGCTGCAGGCAGAGCTTGGGCTTCCCTTGTTGTTGTTTTAATTACATGTTGCCATTTTAGTTGGCGTCGGTGCGGCTTTTGCCTGCTTCGCTTTTCCTTTTGCATTGCGAGGGTTTTTTCTCAGCGGTTTGCTACGCGCTTGATTTTAGATTCCCTTTTTTCTTTTATTTATTTTTTGCCAGTATTGCCAGATTTACAGCTTTGTGTTGCAGCGTCTTCTCATTTCAATGTGTTGTTGCTTGTTGTTGTTTCGGATTTATAACCTCATTACGGCCTGAAATGGAGAAAAAATAGATTTTTAAATGTTTTAATTTGAAGCGATTTTTTATTTATTAAGATCTTATGTAAACGTAATCTAGCGAAGGTTTTAGCGGTATGAAACAAAATATGTGCATATATTTCGAGAGGTCGTTAATAGTATATTTAACCTTTAAGTGTGGACATTTTTTTCGTAAATGTTAGCCTGGACATGGCGCCTCACATATTCCAAATCTGCGGGGATATTTTGACTGCAATTCCTAGTAAAATTGATAAATAACATTTCACATTTATTTCGTAAGAAAACGAGGAGGTCTTAACGTTGTTCTGTTTGTCTTTTAGCAATAAATTTTCTAAAAACTAAAAAAGTATATAACTTTCTTTCCAAAGTGACACAAACTAAAAATTAAAAGAAAATTAAATGAAAAAAGGACAATTTTCTATAAATTAAATGAAATAAAAAAATCTTTTGTTAATATTATTGTAACGCATTAATATTTGTTTCAACAGTTTTATTGAACTTTATGCTGATTTTTCCGCATAGACTTTCTTGGTTTTTCCAATTTTCCAAAACAAAAGAAAAAAACAAAATCGTTGTATAAAGCTCAATAATACTTTTGAAAAAATATGCTTTTCTTTTTAAAACAATAAATTCTTAAAAATAAAAGGAAATTAAATTCAAAAACAGACAAAATTAAAAAAGAAAAAAATACTTGAGGTTTAACATTTTTCTTTTGACAACAACTAAATCTAAAAATTGAAAAAAAAAAATTCAAATAAAAAAATGTAAAAATGTTCTAAAAATTTAGTTCNCTTTTGACAACAACTAAATCTAAAAATTGAAAAAAAAATTCAAATAAAAAAATGTAAAAATGTTCTAAAAATTTAGTTCAAATAAAATAAATATTTACCTTTTTAAAACAATAAAATTTTAAAACCTTAAGGTACATCAAATTAAAAAAGGAAAATAAGAAATAAAAAAAAATCTAATTTTCTTAGAATTACACGTATAATCCTTTGGTGTACACGAGCATAGTCGAAAAAAAATACAAAGTGAGCCTCCCTAATGTATACGACCCACAATTTTTCACATACATAAATTAATAATAAATAATATCAATAGTATGAATTGCTGTGCATATGTAGTACATATTACATATGTATGTATGTACATATGTACATAAAATTTTACCCAGAGTGGCATCCCTAATGCACTTTAATGCCTCATGGGCACGCTTACCTCTTTTATCTTTTAGCAATTTTAATTCATGTTATTTTATTATTTTTTTTCTTCAATTCAAATTTATGTTAAGAAATTTATTTACATTTTTCAATGCGTCTTTCTCAGAATCAAAAATATGTCGAGTACTTCGCCGTTTTAGCTAAAAATAAACTACTCTTGTCTATGGAAAATACGCAATTATGTAAAATAAGCAGCAATTATGCTGCCACGCATTAACACTTTGTCGAATTTTGAGTCAATATTCGGTTGAACCATTAAAAGTCAAGCAGCTACTTGGTAAACATGCGTCAATTACTGTGGCCAGCATCATCGAACGAAAATCCAATCGCACTTGAACACATATGTACGCACTTGAACGCACGCGTAGCATGAAAGTTCAAAAATTTATCGCGAAAGTATCGAAACATAAAACAAAATAAATACATATGTATAAATGATATATTAGTGAATAAATTCGAAAGCAGAAGCAAATTTACTTCATTCTTTTCCAGTTAAAATTCTAATTAAGTACTTGGCTTTCAGGGGTACTTGACGTACCTGTGAGCTGTGTGAGCTATTAACCGCTCAGTTAAATAGGTATTCAGTTGAACGATTGTATGAGTATGTATTTTTTTACAAAAATTTGTATTACATTTTCTGCTCTAAGTGAAATTTGGTTGGGTATCATTAGCCGATAAAGTGGTTATTTTTACTTGTTACTCTATGCAGTGATTCTGTATACAAAAAATTATATTTGGATTTCGCATATTCTTCTTTTAATTTTCATGCGAGCTTCTCCGACACATACGTAAATGAAATACAGTTACATTTTGCCTCCGCATGGCAATTATATATTTAAAATCTGCAATCAACTTGGCATCCCTATCAGAAGTGGATCTGTCAGCCATTCTAGAATTCATATGGAATGATATGTAGTTTAACAGACACACTCTGAAATAACTCTGGTGAGGACTAAACTAACTTAACCTTCTTATCAGGGTAGTCGAATAGAGGCTCTGAAGAGAGGTGTGGGATTTTTCTTAAATATTACAACTTGGAGGTTACTAATGTTAGAGATATCGTTAAAAAAAAACAAGTAAATCGGACTAAAACTAGGAAAAACGAAACAGAAAATTTCGATTTATATGTAACATAGCCTACTCAAGCAAGCGAGAGTCCATTGAACAGGATCAGCGAACAAAACAGCCGATTGAAGCGATATCGCAGAAATATTTGGAGTATCATGTAGGTCCGTTCTAAACATACTTCGAAGGGATCTTGGTATGTCTAATTTCAGCGCAAAGTGGGTAACGAAAAGGTTTAGAGCCCTTCGAAGGCAACAGCAGATCAATAGCGATACTTTGTGAAAATATGCAGTTCCTGGGATGTATCCTTTTTTTTGATCTATCAAAAAAAAACCATTTTTACAAAAACCTAAAGAGGAAATTTAAGGCAAAAGGAGAGGGAAATGGACGCTACCCTACACAACTGCGACCTCGAAATATTAAACTCACTTGTATTTAGCACAGACTTGAAGCCTGATTTTGGCAACTTAACTTAATTTAACGTAACTTAGAACTTAGAAAATCCAAATAAAACAGGATTCGACGCGGCAATAAGTTACGTTAAGTTTCGCCTGTACAAATATAAGCAACATACCTTTAAGAGAATTTTAACGTGACAATCTTTAAGTTAGGTTAAGTTGCCATAAACGGAGCTTTAGACCCTTCAGATTCTCATTTATTTTCAAAATTGAAGAGAATATATTTATGGGATTGGTAGATGAGTCCGGCGATTTCTGCGCTTTTTGAAAGAAAAAGAAAAGAAGTGCCCCATTTAATTTTAACAATTGCACAGTGGGCCTCAAGGGACTATTCAGCGCACCAATTTTTTATTTTTTTTTTTTTATCGGAATCAGGCACGAACACAATGCATGTAGAAAACATCGCTCAGACTACATGCCGTCCATTGTACTGCTTTCACGATTTACGAATAGACCCAAGCAGAATTTTGGGTTCCAAAGAGCTCAGGCTCCTAACACATCGCGTCACATGCCTCATAGCTAATTCTTGCAAGGGCAACGCAGTCCCTTCTGCTCAATGGGAGCCATCAACTAAATAGACCTCCTGAGATTGAAGGCAACATGAGTTTTGCCCACTATAGCCCCTCGATGCCGCCCAGTCATTGCTGAGCGAAGTATTCTCTGGCCGAAGGAGGGAGTGCTATTACTGCTTGCGGGCCTCTTTTAGGAGGAGATCCGGAAACAAAAAAGCTCACGCACCCACCCTTCCATTTCCAATTTGTTATACTAAGACGCAGGACTATGTATATGCCTTCCGAGGTACACCTTTGAACTCAACTTGACTTCCTCTCCAAGCAGACTCGACCGGGAAGAGGAATAGCTTAAACCTCGGAAAGACTGTCATAAGCATCAAATATATCTGTAGACGGCACCGAGGCTGACCAGGGCACCGCTGCAGAAATCTTCGGTTTGTAACCCAGCAGGCTCCTATTCACCGGCATGGGGAAGGACGCATCTGCCTTTCAGGCTAAGGTCTATGCCATGGCACTATGTCTGCGAGGGAATACAGACAGAGGTGAAATCGACAAAGCCTCCTTGAGAGCACATATTAGCAGTGGACTGTCTTAAACGGTTAATGGGCATCGCCTCCGTGAACAGAGCTAGTGACAGTTGCTACACATGCAAAAAACGTGGTTCAGATTCTTGCCACAAAGCGGTGACACATGGTTTTAAGCGCCTAGCACCCTTTCTCACTTTGCCACTGAGTTCCGCAAAACCACAAAATTAGTGGATTAACTCTGAAGAAAACAATCAGCTCAAATAAATAAATAATTTATTTGAGTGGAAGATCGCCATATCTCGACTGCCCAGTCTCAGAAAAGAATTGACAAACGTCGTATTTCAAAATTTGGTTAAAGCACGCCCTGTCTCAGCTGCCAATACTATGAATTGAATTTCTATTGAGACAGGACGTTTTCGAAGCGACAATCGAGATTCTGAAATAGGGCGCTCTTCAACCATTTGCGGAGATAGGGCGTTTTCGAACCGGCAGCCAAGATAGGGGCGATTTTTCACTCAGCCGACGATATATTATATGTACATATGTATTTCAGATGGGGAATCATAATAGTCATTGGCTTTCCTACTGATCATTGCAGAATATTAAAGCGCTTGTGAAACTTGGGTTCGCACATTTTCAGCGGCGGTGCAGATAGTTCAGCGAAGCACAGGCAACAGCAAAGCACAAAATTTACGTTCCTGGATCATCTCTTCTAGATGCACATGACCTGAATGGTACCACGCCAAGGGGACTCGCGCGGTTTCTTAACAATACATGAATCTGCGAAGAGCTGCAAGACCAATAGAGTTCTAATCTAGGAAGGAATCTAGTCATTCTTCTTCCTCTCCATTCCGCGAAGTTTTTGACCCACCCTCGTACAAACAAACTTATACATACATACATAAGTACATGTTCATAAATTTCAAAATCCGCTTCAATTGCGCGTCAAACCGCTTGATTGCAGGGCAATCGAAATAAATTAATTCCGCTGCTGAGATTTCACGCCAATGCAGCTTATCAATTGAATTGCACTTTTGGGGTTAAAATATCAAA